TGAAGCACCAATTCCCCCACCCTTTGATCCTTGGTGCTGACCTTGGCTTCGGGACGTGGTGGAAGAAGCCGAGGCGGAGTAGATGCAGCAGCTATCAGAGCATCACGCAAGGCAGGGAGGTGTTGCTGGTGCTCACCCAAAGGCACAAGGTGGATGGGGTACCCATGGCCACATGGTCCTACACCATCAGGTCATGCCGTAGCTTCTTTTGGGCCAGGCTTGGCCGCAGGCATGTCAGAAGACCACGTAGCTCCTCTTTCCCACCACACAGATAGCCTGGCTTGCCCAAGACCTGATTCGCATCTCCACCAGATCCCATCTTTGCCTCTGTGTCTTAGGGCAAACCTTGAGACATTTGCAGGGCACTTTTTAGACCTGGATTAGCTGGGCTTGGACATCAGCTGCTTTTGTAGCTTAGCTGAGGCCAGAGGGGTGTAAGGCAACAAGGGTTGTCCAACCTGGGAGCTTGGGCGGGTAGGCAGGCTGAGAAAGACAGCAGACCTTGCAAATGTGTTTGCTCAACAGAAGAGCATGAGGAACTAGTACGGAGAGGGAGAGGAAAGGCAAAGAAGGGGGGGAAAATACCCCCCTGCTCTGCTAAGAAATAACTCAGTTTAGATGCTTGCCTTGAGGCAGAGGTCTCTGATCTCAATAACATTTGGCCTGAACCAGTTAATGGGAGACTACACAAAACTGGAGTAAGTTGTCTGCTTTGCTGACACAGACGTGACGTATTGCTCATCTCAGAGCTGCTGATCTGTTGTTGCTCTGAGCTGTCATCGTCTGCCACAGCAACAACATTTAAATGAAAGGAAGAAGCAACAGGGCAAGGAAAGAAGGATTTCTGGCTGGTGGGCAGCCTGACAGTGAGCCCAGAGACATCAGTCCTCCACGGCTCCAGATATGAGCAGCTGGAGCTACTCGTGGCACCAGGAGCATGTCAATGAACCTTACGCAGCGGGGTGGACATGGGGACACATGTTTCTAGGTTGGCCTCAGGTCAAAAGCCTCTCAGGGCTGGTGAGGATTGCATTGCCTCTGCAGCAAGGAGACTGGGCTTCCCCCTCCGTCTTCAGCTGGAGGAGACAAGTGTTTGCAGCAAAGTCCATTGAAGCTGATGAACTTGTTAGGTGCCTTTGGGGTAGGCCATAGAAAAACATCCAAGATCTGGTTGACCCTTCTTCCTGCAAAATTGAAGTATCCCAATGGAGAAGGATAATCCTGCTGCAGGAGGAGGACCAAAACTCTGGAGCCCATTGAGTGGGGAGAGGGTCTCTGCCTTGCCAATCCCAGAGCAACATTGCCTTCCTGCAGCCACCACTGGGGCAAGCGGTGGAGAACGTGGCTCATGGAGGATACAATTAGTGGCTTTGGAGCTTGGTAGGCACAGCTTCCAACCTCATCATCTTTGCTGCAGTAATGTCCTCAAAGCTTGGCTAATGAAAATGTCAGCCCTTCCCTTGTTCTGGGGAGTAAAAACAAAAGCTGGAGTGGGGTGTCTGGACTGGCTTTTAGTCACGGATTGCTCTCTGCTGTGGCTGACATTACTGTCCAGGCAAAAAGCAGATTAAATCCATGAATCAAATTTTCTTGAAGCATTTTATGGGCAATGCTTGTCGGTTCCAATGCAAATGTGTTCTAGGACCGAACTGTGGCTTGGGAAAGAGAAGGAAGATGTGCTAATGGAGTAATCATTAATAGACACAGCTAACGTGAGATCCTCCATTGCATTGAATAGGGGTGAGCGCCTGCGAGCCAGATTCTGGTGTTGGTCATGGTGAGTTACCTGGAGTAAGGCTGCTCAGCTGGTGTCAGCAGGGTGATACTGGATTTACCTTGTGTATGCAAGATCAACATGTGGACTTGGAAAGCAGTCTCCATCAAGGCCCCTTGCGGCTAGGTACGATGAACAGAAGAGGGTAAACTTGAAAATAGATAACTCAGAGATGAAATGTTTTGTTGTGCACTGTTACTTGTTTGCCAGGGCTTTCTGGGGTCCACCAGTACCATGCTTGGCAAGGACTGGCTCTTTGTTGTGCAAGCTGGTGCGGTTATGCCAGCTGTATGATTTGATGACTGCTAATAAGCATAGATTTGCTGAAGTATTCCCCAAAGCCTTTGCTTTGCTGACAAAATCCTCATCAGCAATTGGATTAGTTGTAGGGAATGAACAATTACAACACAAGATAGTGAATTATGTTAAGACAAATTGATGGGTTTTATTTAATCATAAGGTCTTGGTCACATCTTGATAGTATTTTTCCTATGGAGGGAAATGCATCATTGCACCAGTAGGTACCAGAAAAAATACTAAAAAATCCTTGTTTTAATTGACTAGTGCCTAAAAATAAGGCAAATTAACTCTCTTTACCAAAACAAAATGGGTTAGGCTTTTATTTTAGGTTATGTTGGCTCTGCATGGGCCCCGCGTGCCTTCCTGCCAGATATCAGAGATAAAGTTTGCACTTTCTGGACCACAGGGAAGTGTATGACCAAGTTCCTCACAAGGACTGTCTTGGTCTGGGAGGAAAAATTCAAGTCAAAAGCTCCGATAAGAAGATCTGCCCACCCTGTGCTCTCTAGTTCATCATGGCTCTGGCATCAAAGGTCCTGCAGATGTTTCACTAAATCAGACTAAGGCCTCCCAAGATACAGCAAAAGGCTGGAAATTCTTGGCTAAGGCAACACCAGCCATCAAGAGATGAGAGGGACGCAGAGGATGAGAGACTGGCTTTTTCTGCTTTACTTATGTGCTACAAAATTTGTCCCAGTAAATGTGGGGGAATATCAGTAAGCTTCATTGTCTTGTGTCCTCCTAAGCCAGTTTTGTCTGAAATACAACTAAACTGCTGCCTGGTGGCACAGGCAGGTGTGTTTGGGTGTGCAGAGCCATTAGCACTTTAACCTGCTCTAGCACCTTGTCTTCAGGTGCCGTGAAGACCTGGAGGTGTAAAATGGCTCACCCGTGTCTTGCCGTAGCTGTTTTCCATTGGGAGGACCCATGGCCATTACAGGTTGAGCAATTCACCACAGGTCGCTCTGCACATACCCAGCAAACACAGCAGTTAGGAGGCATCTCCCCATGATTGCGGTGTTGCTCAGCTTGAGCAATGGGCCAGGGCAGCACAGGATCCCCATTTCGTTACCCAGCCTTTACCTGTCAGTGGGGTACGGTGAACTGGGGCCAAGCCAACGGCAGCAGATATAACGTGCAGTACCGGGGGACGGGGTACATGGATGGCTCATGGGTCTCGGTTTGCAGCTCCATCGTTGGGGAACAGTGGGTCTGATCCCACCTCTGCTGGTTTTAATTAGTAGGGGAGCCGAATCATGCTGTTATCTGACAGGATGAGAAATTATCACCTTAAGAAGTTCTGCTGCTGGTGGCACACGCATTTGTTACCCGCTGCCTCTCTCAGAGGGGTGCTGCGGAGGATTAGTTTGTATTTAAGAGATGCTGTGTGTAATTACTTATGCACAGTTTTGCAAACCATTTGTTTCTGTTAGGTCCTCTCCTATTGTTTCTCTGGCTTTCTTTGTGCATCTCCCGTTTCCATACGGACGTGAGCAGAAAGCGCTCGGGGCTCCCTGAGCTGCTGTGATGGACTGGCCCTGCCTGCCGGCAGAAGGGAGATGTGAGCAGAAGGGATCTGGGTGAAGAAGGCATCATGGGCATGTCTTGCCTGTGTCTTGGGATGACACTCAGTGTCTCTTGGTGCTGTTGATCCTGGATAAAAAAAAAAAAAAAAAGGAGTTTTTAGGAAGATGAGGTGTTCAAAAGACTGCATATAAGGGTAGGTGTCCTATCCTGGGGCTGATCCTCAGTAAAGAGGCATCTCTAATAGCCTCAGTCAAGTCTCATCTTTCACCTCTGAGCTGCCTCTCTCCCTAGTTTAAGAGCCAAAATTTTGCTGTGATGCCTGTAAATGCTCCAGGAATGTAGGAATTAACATGCCGGATTGGGCCAAGGGCCCGTCCAAGCAAGGATCTTGAGGGAGGTGCAAGCCAGTGCCAGATGTTTTGCAAAAAGCCTCTGCTACGGCTATCTTTCACACCTCATTTCTTCCTCATTCCCATCAGTTTCATGGCTGGTCTTACAGCAGTCCATGTTGTGTTTCCCGCAGCCGCTCTCCCCCTGCATGCGGCTCACGAGGACGGGCTATCGAAGGGTCTCAGCACGGTCTTAATCCCAGCTCTCAGAGGTGGAAGGGGTCTCATTTACTCACTTGCCTATGAGACCTTTTTAGACAGGCAAAGAAATACCTTGAATTGCATGGAAAGTCAGCAAGCTTTGAAAACTTTGGTGAGCTCGTAACCCATGAAAACATATTTTAGAAAACAGACTTTTTTTTTTTTTTCCTTTTCTAAAATGTTGAGGCTTTTTCATAGAATCATAGAATGGTTTGGGTTGGAAGGGCCCTTTAAAGGTCATCTAGTCCAACCCCCCTGCCATGGGCAGGGACATCTTCAACTAGATCAGGTTGCTCAGAGCCCTGTCCAACCTGACCTTGAATGTTCCCAGGGATGGGGCATCTACCACCTCTCTGGGCAACCTGTGCCAGTGTCTCACCACCCTCATTGTAAAAAACGTCTTCCTTCTATCCCGTCTGAATCTCCCCTCTTTTAGTTTAAAACCATTCCCCCTTGTCCTGTCGCTACAAGCCCTGTTAAAACTTTTGTTCTTTTTCTCTTTAAGACAGGCAAACGAAAACAAGCTGAAGCAGTTTTCATCAGTATACACTTCAGTTTGGAGCCAAAAAGTCACTTTGAACTCAAACCCATGTTTTGGTTCCAATGTTTTTTGGAGGAGAAAAACTATTAGTCAAAATCAACATTTTTCCATGTAATCAACGTTAACTGACCTGTTCTCTTTTTTTTAACCCTTTTGGCAAAGGAGAGAAACAGCTGTTTGCCCAATTCTTGCCCTGGATGGGCAACCACCGGGTTGGGGTGCCCCGGCCACCACTGGCCCCCGTGACAGCCGTCCTCTTCTCTTCCAGGTGCTCCTTTTCAAAGGTCTCAGCATCCCCATGCTACCTCCTGCCGGCACTTCCACCTGGGTCCCCAGCCTCAGCTCTCCGCCGACTTCACCCTGCCTCACGCGGTGCAGCCCCAGCCGGGGCTGACCCCCCACATGGCCCCCGCGCACCAGCACAGCGGTCCCCTGCACCAGCCCCTGGCGCCGGTGCCAGCCCTGCCCTTCCAGGACGTGGCCGGACCCTCCTTCCTACCTCAGGCGCTTCACCAGCAATACCTCCTCCAGCAGCAGCTCCTCGAGGCACAGCACCGCCGGCTCATGCCCCATCCCAGGTAAAGGGGGGCTTGCTCTTCCTGAAGGATGCTGAGAAGCTACATCAGCCTCACTTCAGCAAAGTGGCTTCTGCAAAGCCCCGGCAGAACGTGCTAGTAATGTTGGGTTTTCTTCACAAGTTCATCTGTGTACCCTTCAAATGCATCCACCAGAAGGGAAGCTGCAGGACAGGTTGTACCTGCAGGTGTACCTTTCCCATGGGGATCCATACAGTGCTCATCTAGTATGTCCCAAGGTCACCTATTATTGTCACTCGTAGGAGAATCATGGTGGTAACACCTTGGTGTTGCAGTGAACCTGTCCTGCACGGCAGAGAGAGTGATAGACTGCGTGCACGAGCTACCTCCTCGTAGCTGGTGTCTCAAAACCATGTAAGAGATTGTCCCCACCTGTCCCATCAGGTTTTGCACATGAAGAGCTTGCTCCTCTGGGTCTACGTAGGCTTCCGAGGTCAATGAGGGAATGATGCCGTTGACCTGCAGCACATTCAGTCACGGAAAGCCGCCTAAATTCAGACCGGGCTGACGACTGCAGAGAGAATTACTGTAATTCAGCAGAGGTGGAAATGGAAGCTTGGCCTTGTCCTGACCGTGTTTCTTGAGAGAGGGGTTTAGATAGCACGTAGGAGAGAAGTGCTTTTTCTGGAAACATATGGAAGCTATTTGTGGGTTGTACCCACGGATCAAGAAACAGAGGATGAGTCTTTGCGATAATGCTTCATTTGGAAAGAATGCTACAGACAGAAAACACTTTCTTTCCGTACCCTTTCTGTCTGAAAATTGTGTGTTCTTCTCATCGTTGTTTTGTTTTGCATAAGCTGGATTTTAAGTGGATTTAATGATTAGTTAATAATTGGGTAGCAAATATGTGCGAGGCTGAGGCACCAATGATACAAGTGTTTATCTCTTAGTCATAAGCTGAATCCAAATAAAAGCACGGAGCACAATTCCACGCAGAAGCTGCTTTGGTAAATGCTGTCAGTGTTCCATTTGCAAGTGGGTTGTGGTGTGGAAAAGAGCAGGAACCCCATGCCCGGTCCCACAGCCTGTTTCTGAAAGCACAGCTGCATCAGGGGAGGGTGTCAGAAACCTTACAGATGTGGGGCATGAGGTCCCAGTAATGGGATTCTGGGTCGTGCCTTTAAAAACGAAGCCTCTGAGCTGTAGCTGCATGAAAAATTCTTTATCTAGCAGTTCCCTGCTCCATTTGCTCTAGTGTTTTCCCGTAGATTTACTTTGCGTTGGCTCCACTGGTAAGCAGGGACTCGGCAGGGAGCGAGGGGTATGAGTCTGTCTGTAATGCAAATCCTGCGTGTGCATCCACCTTACCTCTCTCCAAATGTGGACACCGACCAAGCAGCACATGCTCTTCCCCTGAGTAGTTCAAATAAGCAATAATCACGAGAAGAGATTCAAATCCCTAGAAAAAACTTGCTATATCTTCTCCCACTTTCCTTTCCCTGCCTGCAAAGGCAGCAGAGCTGGGGAAGAAGGAGCTGGATCCCAGCCTGGCTTGTCCATCATCCAGAGACATGTTGGCAAAGGCCAGCAAGAATAAATTCTGCTTTCAGTTACTCCTGAGTAATCCTATTACGAATGAGGTTCCTCGGGAGTTTATGGACTGCATGGGGAGGCGAGACAACCTGCAGCTTCTTTATGATGATGGATAAGGGCTGAAGCAGGGATAAGTTTTATCTTGTGTGTTGTTTATGGGGCTGACAGTGGAGAAAAAGAAAATAGTGCAAATGGCACAAAACTGCTAAGGAAGAAGTTGTTTGGTTTCCTCTTTTTCTCTCCATGTTGCCACCAAATAGCATCTCTTGTAAACTGAGTGTATGTGGATGCCGTAGGGGGTGAGAGCGGCGGTCTGCATTATGTCCGTGGTGACCATGAGTAAATGACATAGGTCTGGGGTCCCCTTCCCATCACCCCTGACACCTGCCTGGACTCTTTTCTCTTGGACGCGTATTCACAAGCCCAACAGTTTGAGTTATCCCCCAATTTATTGACATGGGCTCGGAGCAGGAGCCGTACGTAGGCAGTGCCGGCTGCATGGCTAACTCTCTTGCTGGTCTTCTCCTCCTCACAGGCGGGCTCAAGAGCGCATGTCTGTTCAGCCTCACCGTCTACACCCCAGCTTTGACTTCAGCCACCAACTGCAAACTCCACAACCCATGGGGCCCCAGCCCAGGTATTTAGCCGAAGGCACGGACTGGTAAGTCTTCCATATTTCACTTGCACGTTGAATGAGGTGTTTAAAAAGTCCTGGGGAGGCTGCAAGGGTTGTTGGTTGTCATCATGGATCAATGCTTTCATGAAAGGTAACGGTGCAGCTCAACAGATAAAATGTGGAGAGTGTGCAATGGGAAAACTCATTTCTGGGAGGGCCATGAGTGCATGCTAAAGCCTTTATGCATGTATATGATAACATCGAGGCATCGATATTGCCCATAACTCTCCATCCACGGATGTAGAGTGCAGCCAAGCATTAATCTTCTTCCAGGGGCTTTTCCTGCTGCAGGGCACAGCCAGGGTCTTTTTCCTGTAGACCAACGTCTCTGCCTGAACTAGATCTTCTGCTGTCCACCAGGCACTCAAAAAACAGTGGCCACAACTTTTTTTTGTGGTCTAAATCAGGGAGCACGGTGCTGCCCTGCCCCGCAGGATGGTGTGAATGAATTAATGGTTGTTAATCATTCTCCCTCTGTAGTGTTCGATACCCTGGAAAAGCCAAGCAGGGAATTGATGGTTTTGTTTTCAGAGCAGGTTTTGAGCTCTTGCACAGTTAATAAGATATGGGGCCCTACTTGGAAGAATAAGAAAATAAAAACATACTTCTGAGTAGCTGATGTTAGCTGAGCAAAGTCCATTCTGTGCGCTGAATGGAAAAAAATAGCATGTGAACATGTAATTAGAAACAATCACAATGTATATGCACAAGGGGACTGAAATAAAATGTTACAGGAAATCTTAATTATGGCATTTCCTAACATCTCAGCACTTTGCTCTGCAAATGGAGAGTCCTTTCAACACAGGGAGGGGTGTTTTCCCCTCTGGGGTAATAATATACAACCTAAAACACGGCTAGATCCTTCTACCATTCTCTTCTCAGGTGTTCCCATTACTGGCCCCACTGTGAGCTGAATTTGGCCAGAATGACATTGTTCAGATTAGTTTGCAAAGCGGTTCACGTACCATCTGGATAGAGCCATTCTTTCTGCCTCTCTTTCGGCACAGAGTGTTTAATTATAATCATTAGAAGGATCGGATAAAGCATCACTTTATGTTCCCCTCCTCCTCCCTCCTTTTCCCCCTGGTGTTTCTCCATAGCCTTAAAAAACCTAAGGAGTGGGGATGACAGAAACCATATACCGTGTATGTATATATTTGGGTGACTCACTTCCCCTTGGGGCGCATGTACCGTTTTGCCCAGTGACAGATATAAAAACTTTCCTCTAATGCGTTACCACCGCATGAGCAGCAGCGACGCTTGCTCGGAGGCGGTGGGTAGTAGGCACTGTAGCGGGAAATAGGGATGAAGGAAGATCTGAAGGTGATCCGTCGTCTCGGACAGCCTGACCTCGTTTAAAATGTTCTGGTGAAGAAGAAATAAGCTCCCATTTGGTTCCTTAAATCATCTTCTGCATCCGCATTTAGTGACGGCCATCCAACCTGTTATCTGGGTCCTTACCTTTCACTTTTTGGTTGTTGGCAGCCTGCGTACCATAGACATCACAGCTCTTGAACCTCGCATCTGAGCATCAAGATGCTGTACAGTTGTCCATGTAGCACAGGCTAGAAGGTGACAGTTGGTTTTGGTTTTCTTCAGCTAACGTGCTCTGCTTATTCACCTGCAAACCCTGAGAAAACACCGTTCCATGCAGTATTCTGCTTTGGGCCCTTCTGTAGACCCACAGCATCGCTTCAGGAGCCTCAATATCTGATGTTAAGGATCTAGACGTGCCGGTGCAGAAACAGTTCAGCAGTGCTGTTACTGCAATTACTTGTGCAAGTTAATAATGGCCATTCATCTTTGAGAGATCTCTTCAGTCCTTGATCTCAAAGCACCCTTGGATTATCACATCTCTTTTGTAGACAGGGAACATGAGAAGGCAAAGAGGAAGTGGTCAAGGTCATGTATCAGGCCAGTGACAGGGCTGGGAATGGACCCAAAGGCTCCTGATTTCCACTTGAGTCTTCCATCCACCTGGGAACAGTCTTCAGCAATTGGATAAATCTCCAAAATTGTGACACGGGAACTGGAAATGCTCGGTCCTGCAGATCCTCACCCTGGTTGTGTTCCTGCCAGTCACTTGCTGTGTTTTATCCTCTGCCAGAGGAGGTGGCTAGCACAGGGCCAGCAAAGATAGTCCTCTCTTTGCTTCAGCTTGCTGCGGGAAGACTTATTGGGGAGTCCTAAAACACTGGAGCTGCTGCCTGGTACATAGGCTGTTCTGGGTAAAGGGTTTCTGCATTTACTGTCCCCTCACGTCCGTTATCTGCTGTTGGGCGAACGCGGTTTCACAGCCGCTGGAGAACACGGCTGGGTTGCTCCTAACAGGCCGTGGCACTCGCTGCCGCTGTCCTCCGTGGAGGGGAAGAGAAGTTCGAGGATGAAACGGGAAGCCACCCCTATGCTCTAATTAGCTTAGCTTTGCCAAATGTGAAGACAATGGTTATTAGAGCGCCGGCTTTTGTAATTACGATAAAGCGAATGATGTTCAAAGCACTTGTTTGCTGAGAGATTCCGGCTGGAGAGACAAGGGATCAGCTAATTGGATTATAGGTGGAGATGCTGCGTTAGGTCTCCTCCCATCCCCTCCACGCAGCGTGGGCATGGGGTTGGCAGGTTGTCTCTGCACGCTTGGGCTGGGCAGAGCTGCGGCGTTTGCCAGGATTTTGGTCATGTCAGGTCCCGGGATTGAGCTGGGTTGTTTTTCTGGAGGGACAAAGTGCCCAAACTCACCAAGCTGAGCCCCAGCCTGAGTGAAGATCCCACTTTGCCCAGGCCAGGCTGCATGCAGGCGAGTGGGACCATTGGGGATGTCCTCCTTCATTGGCATTGGCCAGCTGGTCACGCGACACTGTTTCCTACAGCAGTCTCATCCAGGAATTTCTTAAAACCTTTATATTTTCTGCACAAACAGCAGTTGTGGGGCTCCCTGAAGCCAGGTGAGGTGCAGTCTCTCCTGTCTCCCTAGGTCCTCCTGTGGCCTGGGCTGGGAGACCTCCAAGGAGAGCACAGGCACGTCAAAAAGCCCCCGGACGGTGCCTAGCTGGCTGCTAACAACTACCCAGTTCATAGGTGTGTGCCCAAGACATTTAGCTGTGTTCCTGCAAAATATTCAAGGCAAAATGTAATTGTTTGCAGTGAAGGCAGCACAGGGAGGACCTGGTCTGGCCAGGTTGAGTTACTGAGCCTGGGGATCGATTGGAGCCACCAAAATGCTCTTGCTCTGAAATTAGCAGGCTTGACCCCAGCTAACACACAAATGCTAACTGGCATAAAAACAACCCCTCAATCCTTCATGCTGGCCTGGTGGGCGATTGCCCAAATTGGAGGAACCTCCCTTCCAAGCAGTAGCATCACCCCAGGTTGAGGCACCCACAGCAGCCCAGAGCCCACCAGTGGAAGTTACCCCACGAGCACGATTTGACTTGCTGTAGACCACGCAGTCAAAGCTGTATCTTCATCCTCATGCCCACAGGGACCTCAGTGTCGATGCGGGACTGACTCACACCCAGTTCCAGGTCCGGCCGGTCCCTCAGCCCTATCAGCATTACTTAGCTACACCTCGGATGCACCATTTCCCCAGAAGCACATCCTCGACACAGATGGTAAGTGAAATGCTTTTACCGAGAAATGTTTTATGCATTGTCTGCCAGAAGGCAGTCAAAATAAAGGCTGCTATCTTTCTATCACCTGTCTTCTGCAAATCCCACTTATCTCCGGCCGTGGGAGGGAGTGTCTGAAAGGATAATGTTGCATCATTGCACTCTGGATTAGAGAAAGGAAAGAAGAGCTCAGCTGCTCTGGAAAGATTCGGTCCATCGCATGCAACACCACGCTCACAAGCTGGTCTGCAAAACCTGGGCAGGACGTGAGAGACTCAGCAGTTATTACTAATAATATTATTAATACTGGAACAAATTATGGGCTCTCAGGGCTCCCTGCGTTGGCAGTAGATGACTCCCTTCCCCTGGCTCGGCCCCGAGGACCATCCCTCCTCACAGCATTGCTCTCTACGTCTATAAAGGTTTTGCATGACCTGTTGCACAGGTGGGGATGGTGTTTGACAAGAAGATGGGCTGACTGGGGTCATTGGCTGACCCTTCTCCTGGCAGGGTGCTGCATTTGGAGCTGAGCCATGCTGAGCACTGCTAATCCTTAAAGCATCCTCAGAAATCCCACAAGAGTGTTTTTTCCTCGTGCCCATAGTCAGAGCCTGACACCTGCGTGCTACAGCAAGGCTTAAAAAAATCAAAGCTTGGATGAAGAGAAATCCACCCATTTAAAAAAAAAAACAACTAAAATCTCTTTTTAAGCTAATCCATGTTGAGAGTTTGAAACTGCGATGCTATAGATGCAACAGGAATTATTATAACAGATAGTTTATTCAGAAGAAATGCATGTTTTTAGTTATCATTTATAGGAGATCTATTTAATAAAACCTCGTTTTTTGGTTATTAAAAGACTTCCATTGGGGAAGGTGTCGGTCTGCTCTTTCATTTTGAATTTTGAAAGCACTAAATTTACATCAGGGTACACGAGGGATTTCTATGTACAGGTGCCTTTATTTTTCTCCCTCACTTCTCGCAGGTTGTTCACGAAATCAGAAATTACCCTTATCCTCAGCTTCAGTTACTTGCTCTTCAGGGACTGAACCCAAGCAGGCACACGTCCGCTGTGCGGGAGAGCTATGAAGTACGTATCTCGGGGACTGGAATTATTATTAAATTTTTAAGTGCTAGGAATCTGTGCAAGCTCTGGCATAAACTTGCAAGACTCTTTCGTGGCATGGCGGTTGCATTGAGTCTTGCAGCAATTTTAGTAATAACTGGAAGGCGAAGGGGTTGAGCGGGTTTAGTAAAAGATGGTTTAGTCCAGGGTACCTGGGTCTGGCTTGGGTTGACTCTGGCTCACTTCATGTCTGTGAACAAAGTGCTCCAGTTCTGCAGGCTTTTGTTTCCCAGCCTGTCAAACAGAGCTCAAATTCCACCCTAATTTCTGAAATACTGGATATCCAGCTCTTTGCCTTGAGCCCTTAGTTACTAGCCCAAGAGCCAGGGCTCAGATTCGTCATTAAAGCATGGCTGATTTGGGTTTGATGGACATTTCCACCAAGGAAAAGGCAGGAGGGAGCCTTGGTCCCCAGCAGGTGGGGTGGGATGGTGGGACCTCCTGCCCCAGGAGCAATGCTGATGGTGCTTTGCTGCTGTTCCTGCGACGCAGGAGCTGCTGCAGCTGGAGGACAGGCTGGGCAGCGTGAGCCGGGGTGCCGTCCAGAACACCATCGAGAGGTTCACCTTCCCCCACAAGTACAAGAAGGTGAGCGCCCCAAAACCGCGGCACGGCTGCCAGCCCCTCGCAGTTGGCCAAGGGTTGTGGGCACGGAGCGGACAGAAGGAAGGACTTTGGTGGGTCGCAATCCTCAGGGTTGGCAAACCGGCGCTGTCAATATTCCCCAAAATGGGGGAGGAATGTAAAATCCAGAACTGGTGCTTTAATATCTTGTGGGGCTCCCGGGCTGAAGCGGTGGTGTAGCTCAGCTGGCTGTTTCTCACTTCTAGGCTAGGAAGCTGCGGGCCAAATTTTCAAAAGGGTCTCAACCTTCTCCCACCCAGCGGGTGCAATTTCCCCCCTGTCCGCACCTGGTAAGAAAGTGCACACACCAAGGGGGCTTCGTGCATGCCAACCCACCCCATTCTGCATGCAAGCGGCGCTGCCCGCGCGCCCTGCTGTGAGGGTGCTGGCTCCATGGCGTGGGGGACCTTGTCCTCCCCTCGTTTTGCAAGAGGTGTCTCCTCTCTTGGAGCTGATCTCCTGCCCATAAGGAAATGGGTGCCATGTTTTTGGGTCGTGCTAAATAGAAAATGGGAAAAGTGCTTGTTTGCGTAGTAATTTCACATGTTGGTCATTCCCGGCTGGGCAGTAACAAGTAGGGACATTACATTGCCCAAGTTGGAAGTGAGTCAACTCCTGCTGCGCTTATTTCTGACCGCATCTCCAGTAGATCCAGAAAAATGATATTAATAGGAATGGTTGGGGGGGGCGGGGAGAGAAGAGGGGAGAGGCTAAGCACTGCTCCATGGCGCAGCGTGGGGCTGGGCCAGTGGCCAAGCTGGCATGGGGCACAGTGGTTGCCCTTCCTGGCAGTGGTGGCCCCACGTGCTTTGGGGTCTCCAGGAGAAGCCTCCCGCAAAGGAGACTATGGGGCCATCCCCACTGCAAGGAGGATGGAGGAGGTGTGGGGGGGGCAGTGTTAGGGCAGCAGAGGACAGGCTGCTCCTTGGGGCACTACCACCAGCCCCACTGCCACCGGCCCGAGGAGGAGATGTGCTAACCAACAGCATGTTGGTGGCATCCTCCCCTCACTGGCTATTTTGGCTGGGCTGGCTGCCCCAAGCTGGAGGATCTGGCTGAGAGATGAAGCTGTTTTTATTTGCCTTCCCGCAACTACCCAGGCTTGGGAGAGCATCAGAAAGTCAAGTCGTAACCAAATTATGTCTTTAACCTTGCTGCAGAGAAGACCGCAGGAGGGCAAAGCTGAGCAAGAGGATGGAGAGGAGTCAGACACCGACGAGAAATGCACAATCTGTCTGTCCATGCTTGAAGACGGGGAAGACGTCAGGTATGACCCTTCCATCTGCTCCTCTGCCTCTCGATGCCATCTGAGTTGTGTTTACTGGGATTAATGCTGCCACACGCTGGTGGGGTTGTCCCTGTTCTTGTCCTGGCAAACTCACTTGGACTGTTGCAGGGTCTGGGAAACCAAATGCCGTTTAGACGGACATTGGTGTGGGCTGTAGGTAGGAAGAGCTCTGCAGCAGCAAGAGGGCCAAGATTTTATAGTATCTCCTGGGTTTGGATCACCTGCTTCAAGGCTGTGCCAGTGGGCCAAGTGGCAAGTATCAGAGAAGGATGGGTCCCAGGTCTCAGACAGCTATCTGGACCTCGGGGATGTCAATGACTGAGCTTAACAGATGAGACCAAAGTACAATAAAAGGGAGTGTGGGTGTGAAGTCCAGGGGAGTTTAGCTTGTGGCCAGGATGGAGCTGCTTTATTGTAGAATAAGTGAGATTACTCAGCCCGCACGGTCACAGGGAGATGTCCTGAGCCAACAACAAAGCCCCAGTTATCCCTCACAGACGTCCCCAGGCTCTTGGCTGGGTCAAACCTCTGCTTGTGACCGAGGATGGGGACAAGCAATTGGAAGGGGCTGAGCTACCTCGGCTGAAGGAGCTGCAGGTGGGAAGTGCAGCTGCACTACCTGGTCCTGCTCCTCACCCTTTAACTGCCTTAAACTATCAAGAAAAACTCTGATCCTCTTGCTGTGCGTCCTTGTGGTTCAGGGTCCCTCCGGCTTGCAAGGGTGAGTGAAGAGGTGACAAAGGTGATGTAGGTGAAAAGCAACCACATTCCCTGGGCACACCAGACACCCACATAGGAGCGGTGGGGACCCACCTGACTGCTAACGAGTCGCAATGATGAAGAACCAAGAGGCTCTGGAATATAACCTAATATTCCTGAAAGGTTAAAAAGCAGCAGCCAGGGCAATTAATAACTGGAACAGCCCAATTCAGGAGGGTGTGGGGTTTTCTAAAAGGCTTTTATCCAGGGACACCATCTCTGACCTACTGCCCTATGTGAGCTGGCGTGGCTGGGGGAGGGTGTAGGACCTAGGCAGCACTGGTGTCACTCCATCGGTGCTTCCCCGTGTTTCAAGCAGCCCCAGCTGCTGCTTTCTGGCTCTTCTTGGTCCCCTGGACCTCCTCCATCCTAACGGGGTGGTACTTCTCTCTCTGCAGGCGGTTGCCCTGTATGCATCTCTTCCACCAAGTGTGCGTGGACCAGTGGCTGGCCACCAGCAAGAAGTGCCCGATCTGCAGGGTGGACATTGAAACACAGCTCGGCTCGGACAGCTGAAAGGACTGGCTGGACACACCATTTTCCTTACCAGGTCGTATGGCCATAAACCCTTGCAGCAAAATTTTTGCCTTCTGAGCCATTTGATTGAGAGGAAAAGTCTGCAGGCACGTTAGTGAGGAGGAGGAGGAGGAGGAGGCGGTACAATATCTAGCGGTAGGAGATATTGCACATACGCAGGATACGGGCCCGGTGAAAGGGAGCTGGCATTCCCGGAGCTCAGAGACCCCGTGCTGCAGAAGATTTAGTGTTGAACATGAAGGAACTAGTTGTGGTAGTCTGGCCTGTCAATCCTGCATTTCATGAGGATTGTATATATACCTCTCGAATACGTAGAAACATGTTAGGGGTCCTTTAGCTATTTCTATGGATGGCAGCTGGAGCATGTTAGCTTAAGAAATGTTGTGTTTGATGCCCTACTCATCTTGTGGTGGACATGTTGCTGTTAACCTAATTTGCACCAAATATTTTTTCATAGATTCCTTATTTTGGTGCCTGATTAATATATTGCAGAGGGGGAATAAAGAGGTCAAATTTTCCCACCTTTGGGGGGGAAGAGGCGAAAAAGCAAAATCCTGTTTACAGTCAGAAGGGTTGCGCTCTTTGCCTCAGCCGCGTGTGCTTCCTTTCCTTGCGTTTACAGTGTGTTGCAAATTTAGAGAAGCTTAAAAAAATAAAAATTGGGAGTGAAATTAATGAAGCAATAGGGAGAAGCTTCGTTCCTGCTTATCTGCTGGTGCTGGACTTTTTCTGTAGGGGCACAATATTGGAGTAAATGCTGTTTCTTTGCTTTCTGTACCTTAACGATGTAGCTTGCCATATCGAAATCCAAGGAAGGGCTGTCTTCATGATTGCCGTTGTCCATGATGCTTTCTCCTGTGTGCTGTGAGGCCGGTTGGCTTTAGCAGCCACAGCCAGCACTGGTCCAAAATGGTGGTTACTGGAGTGGGTGCCTATAGCTGTGCTTTGGAGTATAATAACGCTGGAGAGGTGCTGAGAGATGTACGCTGCCGACCCCTCTCCCATGCAAAAGCATCTCTGATAACAGGGAGGGACAAAACTCGATGCTCACAGGGCACTGCTGAGGCCATGGGGGTTTCGGCGCGGGAGGGGAAGGCCGGTTGGAAGGCGGGGTTTGCCGCTTTCCGGAGGGGCTGGGTTGTAAGCCTGCCTTCAAGCACGGGCACCCGCACCGGCGTGCGTTTGTAGACACGTTGCAGGCTGTATCCGTACGGAGAACGGAGTGATTGTTCAAATGAAACCTAATTGCATTAACGCTCGAAACAGAATTAGGAGGTAGTCCCCGAAGGAGTGAGCTATTGTGGTCCAAGCTCCCCCTGAAAGAAAGACCTCAGCACACCAGCCGTAGGGATCGAGCTGAAAACCCTCCGGAGAACAGGCATTCACAACCAAAAACCCTTTTTTTCTTTTTTTTTTTTTTTTAAATACTTTTTTTTTGCATACTAGGGGAACAAAAGAAAGATGCCAAGGAGCAAGGGCAATTAGTCAGGAACATTCTATATTGAAAATGCTGATGTGGTGGGATGATTTCTGGCTCCCCTGAGCATCTGTTTCGCTGGAGTCAAGCGATGCTCTCCAAGTAGAAACAATCATAAATTACCGTCGGAGAGATCGTGGGATTCCCTTGAGCTATAACTGGAAAACACCAACCTCAGAGGTACCCCAGGGATTTTTTTTTCCCCCAATTGGAGAGGGG